TCCGGCGGTTTTGGCCGGCGCTCAAGGACATTTTCTATGATATTATAAACGGGTTTGCGCTAGGCACAGTAGACATCTCGCGCCTCAACTTCGGCGTCATTAGCCTCATCCCTAAAGTTAAGGGGGCGGACTCGATCAAGCAATACCGCCCCATCACCCTTATTAACATGCCTTTCAAATTATGCTCCAAGGCTTACACTACGAGACTTGCCCCGGTTGCACAGCGTGTGATCGACCGTAGCCAGTCGGGTTTTCTCATAGGGCGTAACATCCTAGAAGGTCCGGTTGTTTTGCAAGAGATCGTTCACGAGCTTAAGCGCACGCGCCAGCCGACCGTGCTCTTCAAGCTCGACTTCGAGAAAGCCTATGACCGAGTGAACTGGGAGTTCATTCGTGAGGTGCTGACTCGGAAGGGATTCGAGTCGGGTTTCATCCATCGCATCATGCAACTTGGGTCGGGGGGACAGACTGCGATTGCTATCAACGGAGAAGTGGGGAACTTCTTCCGCAACAAAAGAGGTCTTAGACAAGGAGATCCCTCCTCGCCTTTGATTTTCAACTTTGTTGCTGATGCCCTCTCGGCCATGGTGAACAAGGCCAAGAACGCCGGCCATATTCGAGGTGTGGTGCCTCACCTTTGCCCAGGAGGGATCACCCACTTACAATATGCGGACGACACTCTGCTGCTCTTTGAGCCCGATGACCATAGCATAGCCTCGATTAAGCTCATTCTCCTCGCTTTCGAGATCATTTCCGGCTTGAAGATTAACTTTTTAAAGAGTGGGGTGATTGCCATTGGGATGGACAATCCCCGCGCCTCCCGCATTGCCAACCTACTTAATTGTAAACTAGGGACTTTTCCAATTAAGTACCTAGGGCTTCCCATTTCGGACAAACACATCTCGATTCTCGAATGGGAACCCTTATACGGTAAGGTGGCGAATCGGGTCAGCCCCTGGCGCGGCAGGTTTCTATCGTCCGTGGCAAGGCTGATCCTGACAAACTCTAGTTTGTCCTCCCTGCCCTTGTTTACTATGGGCATGTTCCTGCTGGCTGATGGAGTTCACGCCAAGCTTGACACCCCTAGGTCTAAGTTCCTTTGGGAAGGGACTGGGACAAAAACGAAATACCACCTGATCAAGTGGGCGGCGCTTTGCCGCCCCAAGAAATTCGGTGGCCTAGGGATCCTCAACTCCAAACTCATGAATGTAGCGCTCCTTGTCAAGTGGATTTGGAAACTCTCCCAGAACGAACAGGGGCTTTGGGCCGATATTCTTCGCGCCAAATATTTCACCGATGGGAATTTTCTCACCTCAAAGGCGAAGGGATCGCCTTTCTGGAACGGAATTCAGACTGTTAAGCCTGCCTTCTCGTTAGGGGCCAAGTTCTGCGTTAAGAATGGATACTCCACGAGATTTTGGCTCGACCACTGGCTTGGGTCGGAACCTCTTTGGCGGAGTCACTTTGCCATTTACCAACTAGTCACTAATGTAGAAATTTTGGTGGCCGACGCGCTCAGAACTAACCCTCCAGCCATATCTCTCAAAAGACCACTCCTCGCCCATGAACAGTCAAGTTGGGATGGGCTCCTAACTGCCTTACAGGGTGTCTCTCTCTGCCCTGAGGCCGACATGGTCTCCTGGTCCCTCTCGAGTTCCGGAAAGTTCACGGTCCAATTGCTTTACAATAAGCTGACTGAGGGACCGACTCTTGACATAGCTAGGGGGCTATGGAAAGCGTCTATTCCTCTGAAGATCAAAGTCTTTCTTTGGCAATTATTTCATGACCGCCTCCCCTCTTCTAACAACATTGCCATTAGACACGGCCCTTCGGATGGGTCTTGCGCGTTATGTGGAGCGCATGAAGATGCGAACCACATCTTCTTCCAATGTCACGTAGCTCGTTTTGCTTGGAGTGCCGTCCGTGAGGCATTTGCGTAAAACTGGAATCCCCATACGGTTTCGGATCCTACGTGGGATCCTTCTCGCCCATAGAGGTAGCTTCGGGCGCGTGCTGTGGCGATGCGTAGGGGCGCTATGCTGGTCACTGTGGACCACCCGTAATAAGATGACTATCGAACACAAGTTCCCTGCTCATCCTACTGACATTATTTTCAAATGTCATTTGTTTCTCCAGACTTGGACACCATTGGGGAAACGGCGTGATGCAGATCGGATGATGGAGGCCATGGAGCGGATCCGCACGATTCAGCTCGAAGCACGACACTAAGATTCTGCTCGTGGCGCTTTTGGACTGGCTGCTTGGACTCTTTGTTGCTGGCTTTCTTATCAGCCTGAAGCCGGTTGCATGTTCCGTACTTTGGGCTACGGCCCCTTTTATTCTGTTGTTTCTCTATGTTAAACTTGTTGGATGCTGCTTGTGGTGGGCTTTATTAATTTAAAGCCGCCGTTCTAAAAAAACGGCGTGTTCAATATTTAAGGCCCAGAAGAAATTAGGGTTGCATCAATGCACCTATCATAACTCGCCAAGATCGAGAGGAGATTTTTTTCGCCGAAGCCAAGCTACTACGGCAGTCAACCGAAGCTATCAGCAGTTTCTGCGGTAGGGTCAGTGGCTGGGTCCGATTGCTACTCTATCGACAAGAAGCAGTCCAATCTGCCAGAATATTGCTACTCCACATAGAGAAATCCCAAGCTACGAGTCCCGAGGGAATCAACTGTTGCTCCTGCTATTTTAAGCATGGAGGACAAATCAAAAAGTACTTCCACTAGTACGTAATGAAGATTAGTATTGTTGAGTACTACTAGATCTGTTTTATTCTCTCATACAATTGCCTGACACACACACACGGATTGAGGAAGATAGAAATATGGAAAGCAAGAGCTATCAAGGAAGCCGGATTTGCCACCTCAGTGGCCGTGTCGCCCCTACCATTGCGGCCACGTTTTTCTTGTGTATATGAACAAAGCAAGCTCAGCAGCGGCTCGAGAGTACCACGCATATCCACGAAAATTGGTTGGCGTGGACGAGCGCGCACGCTCCTGGTATCGCCAACCATCGAGTTGTTTTGGGGATGTGTGCCGTAAGTACTTTAGGTAGGTCTTGTTGCGTATATGTACGGCATACGAGTTGGTCTCCGTCTGGTCCTCACGGCGTGGTTGCTGGAAGCTTGTGACCGTCACATGGTGGAAGTAGTGCGTGTGCGGTCCAGCGAGGTCATTTATTATCCTAGCTTACCCCGCAACCCATCTGCTCATTCGATCATCAAAATCCAGTGAAAGAACCCTTGCTACAGCTCATGGCGAACGCCAACCAAGGTCCAGATTCGGTGGCCCTGCTTGTAGTCCCGTGCCTGGATTGCGGCAGGTTAGTGATGACGTTCGTGTCAGTTCGCTGGCGAGCGGTTCTACAACTACAAGTGTCACAATCACAAAGTAAGTGGATCTTGAGTCAACGAGTGTTTGCTTTTTTTTTTGTGGATTCGATATCTTAGTCGTATTCTTCAATCCGTGGCAGCCGGGGAGAGGTGGATGTGATTTCTACATGTGGCAGGAAGCCTACGCGGAACACCTGGCTATGCTTGGACGGCGGCACCTCCGGTAGCGCAAATCAATCAAGGTCAGCAGGAAATCGCAGCACCAAATCAAGGTTGTCAGATGCAGGCGGCGGATGCATGGTGGGGTGGGGGCGTGGGGCAGCAGAACGGTGCACCGGAAGCCTCGCATTTGGCATCGGCGGCAAGCGAAGCTGCAGGATCTTCCCTCGCTGTGGCGGCTGTTGCTCAGCATCAGGCAACCATCGCCCTCGACCCTGCATCCATCAATTTGGTGGTGTCTGTTGGCAAGTAGCAGCACACATAGATAACACTTTGATGGCCAATTCTGGAAGATATCATAAAAAAGAAGATGAAAAATTAATAGGAAATAAGAGACGAAAATCAATCTGATCACCAACAGTAGAACATGTCATCAGCAGCACACACAAATAACATGAGATCTTAATTACCCAGTAATGCACGGAGGTTAGTTTTAAGCAACACATAGCCACATAAGTCAAAGGTTTTGGACAGATACAAGAGGAAATATTGTCACAATTTCTAAGTTGACAATACATAATTTATTTCACACAGCTGGATACTGAGCACTCATCATACAAGGGAAAAACAGTGGAAATTCAGTGATAAACCAGATTAATCCAAGTCAAAGGTTTTAGACATATACAAGAGGAAACATTGTCACAATTCCTAAGCTGACAATACATAATTTATTTCACACCACTAGGTTGTGAGCAATCATCATACAAGGGAAAAACGGTGGAAGTTCAGTGATACACCAGATTAATCACATTTCCACAGGTCGTTCATGTGTAGCTTTCTGAGGAACATGTAAACAATCTTTGGATTGTTGCAGACTTGCAGGTGTTCTTGCGATGCCCTCCCACTCCGCATATTGAGCATTTGGCTTTTTTTCCTTTTCTTTTGAGGGAGCTCACCCCGCTGTGGACATGTTGTGCTCTTGTGCCCTGGTTCGCGACATATATACTGCAGCATCTAGATGTGCCAGAAACTTACTTTTTTTGCTCTTTGCACCGAGATCATCATATGGAGGCTTGTCTCTGCTGCTGGTTGGTCGACCGGCCTTCCGTTTGCGTTCTGGAGCTGCTAAACCAATGAAATTTCCAACTGCACTACCTCCAGCATCACTCCCGCATACTTTTTGTGGTTCACGAACACACTCAATTCTGTACCTTTTGGCTTGTTGAACTCAATTTTGTGTTCTAAACCCAGACCGTCATGCTCAGAAGCTAAAGGGATCAGTTTATACATTGCTGATCTAAGAAGCTCCATTGCACAATCATATGCAATTTGGTTTGCATCACCAAGTTTTACAACCTCCAAAGCATGAGTATACAGATTTGAATGTCCGAATGTAATGGAGTTAACCGATATATGGTCTTCTGTGCGTGTGCCAACTGCTGTGGAAGTATATCTATTGCATCTTTCGTCCACCTCTAGAGGATGTGCTTTGATGGTATTTTCTCTATACCCAAGAAATCAAGAACCTACAATACAGAATATAACTGATCACCATGTATGGTTTAGAAAATGATGCTGACAGCTAACGCTAAGCATGGCAATCCAGAACAGGTTCAGGAGACACATCTAATACTGGGAAAAAAGTGTGTATTTAATACTAATAGATTGCAGTAGAAGAAAGAAATTATTGTCATCCGAAACAAAGCCAAAAATAATAATCTTAATCAACATTAAAACAACAGATGAACTAACCAGCAAAGAGGCTATTGTCCAAATTGCACTCGGTCCAACTGAAGTTTACATGTTGAAAATGGGCCAAGAAATTAGCCCGTTAGTTCAATTTTCAAGTTCTGAAGATAAAAGCTGCCCATACTGCAAGTGACTGGAATACGCAATCGTATCACCAGTACGCTAAGAATATTGAAAATATATCATCGAGTAACAAAACGGAAAGAAATCACAGCAGAAATGAAGCAGCGGGTTGTGTTCATTGTGAGTAAAGAAACTGGACTGATAAGAAGCTTTGGCCACAGACCCGACCAAACTCAACTGAACTAGATCATGTGTTTGTTATATCCAAACAGAAGGCCTCAGAGACACAACGTGTGCGACTTATCACTTCATTAGAGTTAGTACAGCTCACAGTTCACTGGCGAATCCATGATGAAAAGATTACGGTTGGCTCGTGCACGTTGGGAAATAATTAAGCATTCAGAATGAATTAACTCAATCTGCATAGGGATGCTTATTTTTTCAGAACAAGGTACTGCAGATGAATGAACAACACAAAAGACTGATCATAATTTCCGAGATCTAAATCGTTCAGATAAGCCTTTAGCGCAGTAGATACCTAGTTAAGCATGGCCAAGATGAACACTCCAGTTTCAACATGATTCAATCTCTTTTACCTTTTAGTCCAGCCGGGGGCTTGAGGGTCATCCTTTCCAGCTGACTGTTGCGAATCCGTCGCAGAGAAGCTTAATGCTTCACAGCCGTTGTTGATGGCCAATTGCAGGATTAGCGGCACATCGCCCACATCTCCCATGCTGGATTCAGCCGCTGACTGTGTGAGATTAGCCTCTGGCTCACCATCGGGAGCGAAGACGCCGCGTCCAAGATCCGCCAAGGGGAACCTGCAAGAACACTCGGACACACCTAAGTTGGCTGCCGCAAAAGAGTCAGAATCACTAGTTCGTCTTCTGCACTAGGGATCATACCTGTCCACCGGATCTGCTAGGAACTCGAATCCATCGCCGCCCTCCTCCGCGGTCGCCATAACCTCTCGGCTTTCTGGAGCGCGCCACAAATCACTCAATTGATAGTTTTTTTACTCTTCTCGGGGAAACATGTGGTGGGTGCGCGTTGTCATATTTTCTTTTTCCTGAAATCTAAAAAGTGGCCGCGCACTTTTTGGTCGAACCGAGCGGCCGGCTCTCACAGCGCATGCATGTGGTAATTTATTTGTCTGCTAGTGCATGTAGGCGTGGCATTAAATACGTTCACACTGCTCCTTTAGTTTAAGAAAGACAGATCCATCTGCATTTATTTCGGGTTTTTAAAAATTCAAAAAGCTATATCTTTCAAACCGCGCGTCGGAATTCAAATCTGTTTTCACCATTGAAATCCTCGCGACGAGATCTTTGAAACTAGATCCCGCATGGGTATATTTTGACGAATTTTTTTCGATGCCAACTTTGGAGCTATATAGTGCAACTCTATTACTGCATTGTGCAACTTTATTACTACATCGTGCAACTTTTTTCCAAAACTAATATTTGGAGCTGCGCCTTCGTATGAGGTTACAACCTAGCAACCACGACAACTTTGATGTGCGACTAGTCTATTGCCTCGACGAAAGTCGATGTGCAACCTCCTCTTGTAATGTAGTCTAGTCGCACACACATTGATGTTTAGTTGGCTTGTAATGTAGTCTAGTTGCACATACATTGATATTTAGTTGGCTTGTAATGTAGTCTAGTTGCACACACATTGATGTTTAGTTGGCAGAAAGACTAATTGCACACGCATATGCTTAGTTGGTTTGTAATTTAGTCTAGTTGCACACACACTGATGTTTAGTTGGCAGGACACTAGTTGCACACACATATGCTCAGTTGGCGTGGCAATCTAGTCTAGTTGCACACACATTGATGTTTAGTTGGCAGGACTTTTTTGGCACACACACATATGCTCAGTTGGCGCGGCAATCTAGTCTAGTTGCACACACATTGATGTTTAGTTGGCAGGAAGACTAGTTCGTCGAAACATCCCCATGCGGGATATAGTTTTGAAGAGCACGTTGCGAGGATTCCAGCGGTGAAAACGGATCTTAATTCCGACGCGCGGTTTGGAAGATATAGCTTTTTGAAAATTTGAAAACCGAAACAAATGCATATGTGATCTGTTTTTTCCAACTGATTGTGACCGATGTGAATGTATTAAATGCTAAAAAATACATGCGCTAGCGGACACATACATGTCTATGCAGAGCAGACGCTAGCGGATAAAAGAATTTCTATTTTAGGTCGGCCGCTCGCGCATGCCAGCGAGCAGCCGGCCGCTACGTAGACTCGTCCTTTCTTTTTTCGTTTATGCCCATCCTGTACTGCGCGCTTATGTTATGTACCAACAGCACACTTCGTTGCCCCGCCGTTACCCCGCGTACACTTGCCTCAGGCCATACGTATATTTCCGTAGATGTGTATTAATGCCCGAACAGGCCCACCACAGCCGAACTGCTCCATTGGTCCACGTAGAGAGAGCAAACGAGCTCGTCCTCTCTATCGTCGTTCTTGCATATCCACCACTACTGCTCAGAGAGACACCACTATTAAAATCCGTCTGCTGCATCAAATCACCATCACTACAAAGTCGCCGCCGTGCTCTCCTCTGCTGGGCCCTATTAAGTCACCTCCATCTGCTCCGGACCGGTTACGGCTCCACCCACGCCTCCGTGAGCTAACCCGCTGGATCCACTTTCGCCGGCCCATACTTGTTCCTGAGTCGCCCAGTGCCTCGCGCCTATGCTACCGTCTCATCCTTGCGGAGAGCCGCCGTGCCACTGCGGCCTTGAGCCGCCTCTACACTGTTTTCTGCTACACGCGCGGCCTTTAGAGCCGCCGCCCCGTGGCCATCTTCGCTAAACCGCCGCGCTGCTCCCTTGAGCCGCCTTTCTACCTCCGTTGCGGATCAGCCGCCCCCTGCTCCGTTGACTCGCCGTGGCTCGCCACGGCCGAGCCGCCGACCACGAGTCGCCCTACCTCTATCATGGGGCTCTGACTCTGCTGTTCTTCTACTGTTGAGTTGTTGACTTGCTTCAACTGTCACCAGAGTTATTCACTTCTTATCTCCAGAGATATTTATGGGTATGGACGCCACTAGAGAACAAAAGACCAAGGAGTTTGATTGAGTAAAAAAGACGAAGAATGGTTCGATCTTCATGTCGAAGCTTGGCTTGCTTGGTTTGTAGCCATATGAGAATATTCACTACAAAAAGGGGTTGTTATACCGCGGATATGAAGTATACGCCAACATCATTTTTTGCAATGATGTGAACGTACAATACAAGCTTCCACATTTATACTGCTGGGGTGCTGTTTGCACATATGAAAATTGAGTCAAATTGGAACCTAGTCTGCCATCAAAAAGGAGGGACCAGCCACGGATGCGTCACTTTGAGCCGCTCCTACTTGGGGCTGTATTGAGTCGCCAAGTTGTTTATCCATTATCAGCATCTGGGTTCATTCGATAAAAATATCAGGTGTTGTTTTTTCTATCTATTTTTAAATACATATTAATTTATCCAAAAACAATTGCTCTAGCCCATGATGTTCTCTATGCAGGACAATTATCCACTGCAAAGAAAGATCGTTTTGTCACGGATATAAAGCTCGCGTCAATATTATCAAGCGCCAACATCTAACCATGCCGCATTGTTTAATAAATGTGTGTGCAAGCCGCCGCCTCGCTGGCTCAGTCTACAACAACAACACCGCAGCTGGCTCACCCGTCTGTGCAGGCTTACAACGCCACGACCGACTCATCTGCCTGTGCCGCTTCTGTTGTTGTGGTCGTCTTTACCGTCCGTCTCTCGTGGTCTGGTCTACATCAACACACCGGGTCGCACCTGTATGCACAAATTGCTTAACGAGCACGCGCAAGTCGCCGCTCCTGTTGCCCGGTCTATCTCAACAATTCTGAAGCAAGCCATAATATGTTATTAGCCTCCGCCTGCACCGGATGACTCAATAGACAAGCGCACAAGTCGCCGTCACTGCAGTTTGATTAACTTCAACAGCCAGCTGGGATGAACCGCTGGCCAGATTACTGACACAAATCATATGGGGTCATTTATAACCCGCCATGGTCGACCTCAAGTTTCCGTGGATTCATATCACGTTATCAACGCCAACGATATATAATGAGTGTTGCGAAGATCATTAACTGGCCACCTTGCTTTCAGCTTCAACATATGACAGTGTTCCGCTGTTCAAGCTATATGCCGGTTCATATCACGGTTAATTATGGAGAGTCTCAAGCCAACTCCTCCAGTCATCTTAAGACTCGGGGGCTACAATGATATGACTCAGTAAAATGACTGACAGTTTAAAGCAAGTCAAGAACTCCGGGTTAGTAGAGGGAAGATAACCCGATCCCGGGGGCTGCTGTTATATTGATAAAAATTTCAAGGCCGTCAGCAAAATTCCGACTCGCAATGATGCTTCTGGTTTACAATCCGGTTCAAGGGAAATCTCGTTTCCCACAAAGCACTGAAGCTCTCAATATCCGGTTCAAAATCCGGCTCAAGGATAATCTGTCTCCCATAAAGCTCTGAAATATCCGGTTCACAATCCGGCTCAAGGATAATCTGTCTCCCACAAAGTTTTGAAGCTTTCAAATCCGGTTTAAAGTTCCGGTTCAAAAAGAATTAATCTCTCGTAAGTTCGAGTTCTCAGAAAAATTAAAGGTTGCCAAAGAGAATTTGCTGCCATGATGCGCGGTTCAAACATGGGTATCCTGCCTTATGGGCTTATCTTATTATGGTTACATGGGGGCTTCCTGCTCATTGAGTGAAGCTATAATTACCCTTTGATCCGGCTTATACGCCATGCTTACAAAACACTTGAGGGTTTGCTGCCCAGGTTAAAAGGGACCAAAGAGAGTCTGTTGCAAAAGCACAACTCAAACATAGGCGCCCATTGAGCACAGCTCAAAAGTATTGCTTGGGGGCTCTTTTGTTCTAGAGAACAAAGAGTTTTTATAACCCTTGTAATAGGCTTAAAAGCCAGGCTTGGAAGCCAGGTGTATTCACCTAAGACCCCCGGTTATCCTGGATTTTTAAGTAAGCCACCCCGTCCAGGTAATCCGAGAATGACCCGCCGAACGTTTGACAAGTCAATCTTATGCAGACACTGAACTTGTCAAAGTTAAAATGACGATTGGTTATGTGAACTCCATCTTATAAGGTTTGTATATAGGTTTAACCCGGTGGCTATGCGCCTCGTGAAAGCACTCGATTTTCGGCCTGGCAGCCCATGAAAAGCCTCGTTTTTTCGTTTGTTTTTATTCAACAGGTTTTTTTAGTTTTATCTAATGAGGCTTATAATGCTTTATGATTACAATTCACCGGTGTTTATTAACCCGGCCTAGTTTTTGACTATAAGTCGACCAGTATATGATAAGAAAATATCCGATGTTTATTAACCCGGCCTGGCTTTGGACTATAAGTCGCCAACACATCATGATGTTAAATTCGTTAGAAACATTGTGCTCTAAGGTTTCGGATATTACCCCTTCTGGTTTACGATATTATAATCCAGCCATATATAATAATGGAGAAAGAACATTGCGTGTTCAAATTTTTGGGTTATCACACTTACTTCATAGGTATGATAAGCCGGCGGTGTGAGCAAATATCACATGTATGATATTTTGTTCTGATTATATACGGTTATGATTAAACCAGCCCTGGCTTTTGACGTTAAGTCGCCAGGGTATATGTTGTTTAAAACTCTATCCATGATTTGCGGAGCTATGACTTACATAAATGATTAAGCTCAAGCCCATCATCAAAAGGGTTATCAATTATTGATTTTCATAGAGGCTACAAGCTGCCGGGTTACAAACATCCCGGATTTTTATAATGGTTATTAATAACCAATATTATGATTGAGGTTTTCAAAGTCGCTTCAGCGCAATGGCTATTATTTTATCAATGGATATAATTTATTCTACAACGGAAGGAATATTCCCGAGTCGCTGCAGGCTTACGACTCG